TAAAATTTTTCATCACAGGCGTTAGTCCCCAGGAGATAAAAAAGTTATTCCACGGCGATCACATGGATATCATTGATCCCCGTGGAATAACTAATACTTATCAAATAAAATACTACTTTACATTTTTTTTTCAAATAAAATACTTGAGATTTAGCACATAAAAGTTCATCTCAATACCATTTCTGATGTTTGACAACACTCAATCCCCTAGTTGGAGTTCTGATATTTGAACGATTCTTCCTGATTCAAGCTTAACTCGGGTTTCAAACTTCTCGATTAAGTTTTGCAAGTTTTTCACATTCTCGTCGAAGCTCACTTATACTTTTTTCAAGACCATTTATTTTTTCATATATGCTATCCTTAAGTTTTTCAATTTTTTTATTATTTGCAATACGTGCTCTTTCATCTTCAGTCATCCTTTTCAAGTATTCTGCTTCTGTCCTGGCTTTACCTTCCGTTCTTTTAATTTCATCATATACTCTTTGTCTCCTTTCTTCTTCTTCCCTTGCAATCCGCGCGCGTTCTTGCTCCTTTCGTGTATTTTCGAGCAATTCTTTTTTATATAGTTCATATATGGTACAAATATTGTTTTCTAAATTTTCTAGACATTTTTCATGCACTTCAGTACCAGGAGGGAAGTCTATGGATTCGGAGAAATGGCCCACCGATTACCCATGCGATTGATGAGCATGCGAACCGTTTTGTACCAAGTCTTTTCAAAATTTTTTGGGTTATTTGTGTTTTTCTTGTTACAATTCGTAAAGACTGTAATCATGTTTAGAAAGGCCTCTTCTCCGAAAAGCGTCAATATACTATCGATCACGTTTTTTTGCTCATCCCTAAACCTTTGGCTTCTATTAACAGCACCGTACAGTTAATCCTAGATTTCACAACTTGATTTTTAATAACTCCTACTTACCCAAAACAAATAATTTGGCCTTAATTCCATAAGCACATTTTTGTACGGTGAGAGCGATTTCTTCCATGATTTCTTCATTGGGCTTGTTGGTATCAAAAATCCCAGGCGTGTCGATGATGTTATAAGTTTCGTCACCAATTTTGTAAATTGCGGAACTAGATTTGTTGGTCATCGAATCCTAGCATATTTGAGAAGTTTCGGATGTTGGATTAATTGATAAAACTATATAATATCATATCGACACATTTTAATACCTACAAAACCTTCGTTGACCTTAAAAGAGCACTTATCATCTTCCGAGATTCTTAACAAATAATTTCCCAACGTACTCTTACCGACACCTAAGTAAAAAATTAATTTTTCAATAGCAAATGAAGGAAAGACATAATATCACATACCTGTTTGCCCAATTAATAGTATAACTGGCGCATTTATCTCCAAAGGTGGCAAATTTTCTTCATTGATATCCAACGGTAGCGATCTTGACGGTGATGATTTTCCTTTTTGGATCCTTATTAGGAATAAGTTTAATGGAAGAATGAAAACATTTCATGAAAGCATTAATATTTGACTGAGACTTACATATTATAGAGCAATCACTCTGTCCTCCTTTTTTAAAAAAAGAAAAATCAAAAATCAAAAAAATAAAAAGATTAAAAAGAGAAAAGGAAAGAATCAAAGATTCTTGGTAGATCTAGACCTTATTTCCTTATTTAGTAATCCATAAAAACGAAACCATTACGATAATAAAATTTGTTTTTTATTATCTTGAGGGGTATTTTTCAGTTAGTAATATGTATGATGTTTTTTCGAATTTGGTTTAGAAACATTTCATAAATGTCATTATTAAATAATTTATACGTAAATATTTTTAATACATTAAATTTGATACCAATATAGCAAAATTAAAACTGGGCAATAACTATTCCTATTTAAGCTTATGGCTACAATTCTTAATCTTGAGGCTAGGACAAGTTCTAGATCAGTTAGCTAAGAAAATTATTTCGAGAATTTATCCTTGAAATTGATGTCCGACATGTACGAAATATTATAGAAAAAGATTTATGAAAATCGAAGTTATAATAGCATGAGTAATTTGCATGATTATTTTAATCGTCTGAAAAAATGTTGGCCACTTAAATCGCCTGAACTTATGTTTAATACGTTTCAACTTATGAAAGTTTCATATTTTAAACAAAATTTATAAGATATCATATTTTAATGTATTTCTTTTCTACCAAAAATAGTTCTTAAATTATTAAAAGTATATACTCGAGGCACTCTTCAAGGTTAAAATTGAAAATCAATTTAATATCAAGAAAAAAAAATTGAAATACTTACTTTATTTCACGTCACTAAAAATAAAGCTCTTGTGTGATCCTTCGTATCTTAAATACGAATGATGAAAAATTTAAATACTCTTGCCACTTGGTATATTCCTATTTGTGCCGTGTTAACACGCTTTTTCAATATCGTATACCATTGTTGTTTTAACTAACTTTGCCTTTTTATGACCTAACCCAATTCAGGTGAACATCAAGGTATCTTTTGCGTCGTAATAATTGATCAAAACGAATGTGTTGCTTAACTTTTTTAATATACTGATTCTCTCACATACATTTCATTTCTTCAGTATTAGCCAAACCCAGCCAAGTAAGCAATCATGAAATTCTGAAAAAGCCTTCTAAAGCACAAATTATCTTCAAGATATGGAATTTTCAAACATACTATTTTTGAAAACGAGTTTAAAATATAACTTGCCGACCTATTGTTACACAAATCTTAAAAAAGTTATACAATATTTTCTGCGGATGCTTTGTTAAGAAAAAAAATCCGACGAGTTGAAGGATAATTGTGGAATGATTCTATGCTTGTATTTTTCATGAGAAGAAAAATCCATCTACTATATTTAAAACACAACAAAAATGTAATAACCAAAAGAAAAAAGCTTTATATACAGTATTATTTAATTATATAGCTGATTAAAGATTTAAAAAGACAAAATAAAAAGATTAAAAACCAAATATTAATTAAAAAGAATAAATAGAAATTTACCTAATATTTTATATGGTATTTACTATGTAATCCTTCTATAGACTATAAAGTACAGCAAGGTTGATACTTTTCATTAACATGAATAAATAAAAATTTATATATTAAAATAAAGCCTTTTAATACGACGTCGATTTATGCATTTTTAGGGGTTTACCTAATTATTATACTTATATTAACATTAACATTATTTTATTAATATTATTAAATAAAATATTAGAGCTTTGAACTTACCCAATGTCCTATATTTCATAAAATGTCAACAACAACATATATAGGTTCGAAATAGAAACATTCGAATCAATCTAATAAATAAAAAAAAAAACACCAAAAAAGCTAGAATAATTAAATCTATTTAGCAACAATCCAAAAAACTGCTTTTTAATTACAAGGAAATCTTTTTTCTTATTAATGGTAAAACCGTCACTTCATAAATTTAATTATGAGGTATAATATATTTATTCAACTAAATCATTTGAAAACATTGAGATTTATTTTTATGAATTAAATCAGTGATATGGTACTATAAAATGGCACTTGACTACTGACCTTGGATTCGAAGAAAATTTCACTTATTAATTTAAATACAAAATTAAACCAGTTTTCGTCGATTGAGCTTGTTTATATTATATGAGATATTTGCAATATAAAAGAGGAAACTGCCGGAAAAAAATCAATTTTACACGTCAAATATGATTTTTAGGTTCATATTTAACATATAATCTTATAAACCTTTTCTATTAAAATAATTCTTTGGAACGATGTAGTGTAAAGAACATATACGAACAATAATAAACATTATAAAAATCTTTATTCACATTATTAAATCACAATTACTATAAATTAATATTAAGTTTCAACAAAATTCTTTTTATTAAAAAAATCTTTTATTTTAATAAGGTTTGCGTTTCAATATTTCGGTCATGCCGTTGGTATGCACTATTATGTTTCTAAACCGGTTAAGTTTATTACTTGCATTGGTAAGCTTAAGGCTACAAGTAAAAAAGTATCATAACTTTATTTAATAATAAACATTTTAATGAAAAAAGACTAGTTAATTATATAACAATTATTGCACAAATAAATTGATAATAGAAAAATATGCAGTTTCCAAGAACTGAACATAAGGATGAAGGCGTTTTTCGCGATGCGTGCTTGGATTGAAAATGGTCCACCAGCGAACTGGTAAAAAAATAAGGTCCATGAGCGACTGAGAAGGCGGACAATCGTCGTAGCAAGAACTTAATACGCCTTCGGCAATAACTGATCCTGCCCGAGTGTAAAAGCTAATATATTCATCGTGCCATTCCTATAATTAAAAGGAATGAGAAGAATGAGAAGTTAAGTATCTATCGGAACTTTTCAGAAAATTGAAAAACTTGACAACCGTAAGAAATAATGTTTGATCCAACTCACATTCGTTATCTCATCCACAATGACCGGAACAAGCTTATTATTACCATCAGATACTAGAATTTTGGTTTTTCCTGGACGTAAATCTTTGGCAAACATGATAGAAAAATTTTCATTGAAGACATAATGAGTGGTTGTGAGCCGTAATTGACCTAAAAGCGAATAAGTAACAGTTATTTTGAGAGGTTTATTTATTCAACATATAAATAATTTGGAATAGTACAATTATAGCCGTTTGGTTTGGTGAAGCTTATCCTGGTAAAATTTTCTTCATGATCGAGTTTACCAATGTGAGCGATAAGGTAAACTTCTGAAAACTCTTCAATACCATTTCTGATGTTTGACAACACTCGATCCCCTACTTGAAGTTCTGACATTCGAACGATTCTTCCTGATTCAAGCTTAACTCTGGTTTCAAGCCAGAAACAACCTCCTTGATTAAATTTTTGTTTAAGAAAACTAATAATTAGTGCAAAGATTGAATCCTCACGTTCTTCAGTCTTTCTTTTCAAATATTCTTCTATTGCCATGTCTTCACCTTCCGTTCTTTTATTCTCATCATATTCTCTTTGTCTCCTTTCTTGTTCTTCCCTTGCAATCTGCGCGAGTTCTTCTTGCTCTTTTCGTGACTTTTCGAGCAATTCATTTGTATATATTCCATTTAGGGTACAAATAATATTTTCTAAATTTTCTAGACATTTTTCATGCACTTCAGTACCAGGGGGAAAGTCGTCTGGATTCGGAGTAATAGCCCACCGATTACCCATGCGATTGACGAGCATGCGAACCTTTTTGTTCCAAGTCTTTTCAAAATTTATTGGGTCTATCGTATCTTTCTTATTACAATTCGAGAAGACAGTAATCATGTTTAGAAAGGCCTCTTCCCCGAAAAACGTCGATATTCCATCGATCATGTTTTTTTGCTCATCCGTTAACCTTTTGGATTCTATAAAAGCACCGTACAGTTAATTCTAGATTTAGCAAAACTTGATGTTTAATAACTCCAACTTACCAAAAACAAATAATATGGCCTTGATTCCATAAGCACATCTTTGGACGGTGCGCGCGATTTCTTCCATGATTTCTTCATTGAGCTCTTTGGTACCATAAATTCCAGGCGTGTCGATAATGATGTAAGTTTTGCCACCAATTTGGTAAACCGCGGAGCTAGATTTTTTGGTTGCCGAATCCTAACATATTTGAGAGATTTCAGATTTTGGATAAATTTTCAAACTACATTTAATATTATATTAAGTTTAAATCGACACATTTTATTACTTACAAAATCTTCAGAGACCTTAAAAGCGCACTTATCATCTTCCGAGATTCTTAACAAATAATTTCCCAACGTACTCTTACCAGCACCTAAGTAAAAAGAATGAATATTTCCCAATAGCAAATGAAGGGAAGGCACAATATCAGCGCATACCTGTTTTTCCAATCAAGAGTATAACTGGCGCATTGATATCCAACGGTAAAAATCGATCTTTATCTGACGATGATTTTCTTTTTTGGGTCCTTATTATGAATAAGTTAAATGAAAGAATGAAAAAAGCGTAGGTAACGTTAATATTTGAACCGAGACTTACATGTTATAGAACAATTATCGATTTATCTCGGTCCTTTTTTTATAAAAAAAAAATGAAAAAAAAAATGAAAAAGACAGAGAAAAGGAAGGAAAATAATGTGGATTCTTTGTAGATCTAGACTTATTTAGTAATTCCAAAAACGAACAATAATAATAAATTTTTGTTTCTTATAATCTTGGGGGATTGTTGTCCTGATTCAGTTATTTTAAATGATCTACACTAAAAATTTTTAGATTAGATTCCATTGATCGGTTTTAACAAATATGACAATATGTCATTTGTTATTTTTCAGTTCTTTAAATGGAGGAATTATTAAATAAACTTACGTAAATATTGTTTAATGCATAAAAACTGATACCAATAACTAATCCTTTTTGAGCTGAGCTTATGGCTACAATTCTTAAGCGAATTTGAATCAAGAGAAACCGCATGCGCTTTGTAGTTATGTCCGGCTTATTATGGAATCAAAATAATAGCATGAGCTATTATTAACCGCATTATTCATTATTTTAATGTTTGTGACTCAACAACCTCCGATTTAAATGATGTCAACGTTACATTATCTGGTTAAACTAGATATTCAATAAATAAATTAACTTGAAATTCAGATTTATTTTATGAATTATATCTTGAACTACATAATACAACCAGTACTTTTGAAGCTTTTCTTCAATGAAAACATTATTGGAACGACGCAGAAAACATTTACTGGCAAATTGTTCAAAAGAACAGTAATAAATCGTATTAAAGACAAGCTCGCTTATTCACATTCAATCACCACAATTGTTGTTATAAAATTATATTAATATGTATTAACTTTAATATTTTTATTCGTTAATTCTTTTTTAATAAAAAATTATTTATTTTAACGATGCTTTACGTTTATAAACCAGTTAAGTTTATAAATCACGAATTTAAATTTTTAAAAAAGTATCCCAACTTAATTTATTCTTTAATCAATAATACAAATTTTCAAGAAGTTAATAACAAAATATTTTAATGAGAAAAACTAAATTATATATAAATTATTGCACAAATAAATTGATAAAAGAAAAATATGCCGTTTCCAATAACTGAACATAAGGATGAAGGCGTTTTTCGCGATGAGTACTTGGTTTGAAAAGGGTCCACCAGCGAACTGGTAAAAAAACAAGGTCCATGAGCGACTGAGAAGGCGGGCAATCGTCGTAGCAAGAACAAAATACGCCTTCGGCAATAACTGAACCTGCCCGAGTGTAAAAGCTAATATATTCATCGTGCCATTCCTATAATAAAGTAATGAGAATGTTAAGTATCTATCGGAACTTTTTAGAAAATTGAAAAACTAGACAATCGTAAGAAATAAAGTTTTGATCAAACTCACATTCGTTATATCATCCACAATGACTGGAACAAGCTTATTATTACCATCAGATACTAAAATCTTGGTTTTTCTCGGATGTAAATCTTTGGCAAAAATGATAGATAAATTTTCATTGAAGACATAATGAGTGGTTGTGAGACGTAATTGACCTAAAAGCGAATAAGTAACTGTTATTTTGAGAGCTTTATTTATTCAACAAATAAGTAATTTGGAATAGTACCTTTATAGCCGTTTGATTTGGTGAAGCTTATCTTGGTAAATTTTTCTTCATGATCGAGTTTACCAATGTGAGCGATAAGGTAAACATCTGAAAACTCTTCAATACCATTTCTGATGTTTGACAACACTCGATCCCCTACTTGAAGTTCTGACATTCGAACGATTCTTCCTGATTCAAGCTTAACTCTGGTTTCAAGCCAGAAACAACCTTCTTGACGTTTAAGATCACTTATCATTTTTTCAATTAAAAAATCCTGAAGTTTCATAAAATTATTATCATTTGCGATACGTGCTCTTTCATCAATTTCAGCCCTCCTTTTAAAGTACACTGCCTCTGCTCTGGCTTTACCTTCATTTCTTTTAATTTCATCATATTCTCTTTTTCTCCTTTCTTCTTCTTCCCTTGCAATCCGTGCGCATTCTTCTTGCTCCTTTCGTGTCTTTTCGAGCAATTCATTTGTATATATTTCATATATGGTACAAATAGTCTTTTCTAAATGTGCTAAACATTTTTCATGCACTTCAGTACCAGGGGGGAAATCGCTTGGATTCGGAGTAATGGCCCACCGATTACCCATGCGATTGACGAGCATGCGAACCTTTTTGTTCCAAGTCTTTTCAAAATTTTTTGGGTCATTTGTATTTTCCTTATTAATATACGAAAAGACAATAATCATGTTTAGAAAGGCCTCTTCTCCGAAAAACGTCGATATTCCATCGATCACGTTGTTTTGCTCATTCGTTAGCCTTTTGGCTTCTATTATCAGCACCGTACAGTTAGTCCTAGATTTAACACAATTTGATTTTTAATAACTCCTACTTACCGATAACAAATAATATGGCCTTGATTCCATAAGCACATCTTTGGACGGTGCGCGCGATTTCTTCCATGATTTCTTTATTGGGCTTGTCGGTATCAAAAATCCCAGGCGTGTCGATGATGTTGTAAGTTTCGTCACCAATTTTGTAAATTGCGGAACTAGATTCGTTGGTTATCGAATCCTGGGATATTTGAGAAGTTTCGGATGTTCGATTAATTAAGATAAAACTACATTTAATATTATATTTTCATTTTAATGCTTACAAAACCTCCGGAGACCTTAAAAACGAGATTTTTTTCATTCGAGATTCTTAACAAATGATTTCCCAACGTACTCTTGCCGGCACCTAGGTAAAAAAATGAATGTTTCCAATAGCAAATGAAGGAAAGGTACAATATCAGTGCATACCTGTTTTTCCAATTAAGAGTATAACTGGCGCATTGATATCTAATGGTAGCGATCTTTCTTTATCTGACGGTGATGATTTTCCTTTTTTGGTCCTTATTAGGAATAAGTTTAATGAAAAAATGAAAAAATTTCATGAAAGCATAGGTAACATTAATATTTTAACTGAGACTTACATGTTTTAGACAATGTAGACAATTTATCGATTTATCTCCTTTTTTTTAAAAAAAAAGAGATAATGAAAAAAAAAAAAAAGAACAAAAGACAGAGAAAATGAAGAAAGTAATATAACCATAAGATTCTTTGTAGATCTAGACCTTATTTAGTAATTCCAATTACGATTATAATAATTTTTTGTTTTTATTATTGTTTAAAAATGATATACACTAAAAATTTTAGTTAGTTTCCATCGATCGGTTTGACTAATACGTTAGCTAATAAGTTCCTTGTTGGATTAAAATTGTTGTATTCAGTTCTTTCGTTTATGTAAATATAACAACTTTAAAATGTAAGCAAAACGGTTTTTATGAGTAAAAATAGAGTAATGTTGACGTTAAATTTATTTCATAATATCAAATTAAATCAGTGTTACCTCAATGTCAGCTTCCGCAATGTCGATATATTATAACTAAAGTAAATAAATGCACAATTACGAAAATTTATATAAGAAAATAATAAGAAAATCAGAAATTAAAAAATAAATCGAAATTACAAATATGAAATTATAATGTTAACCCGGCAAAAGTGAAAATATCACTAGGGGATAAAGAAAGGCTTTTAAGGTGTATATATGCAATTATAAGAAGGACGAACATGGAATGTTGAGCTGTTAAGGATTTTCAGTAGAGCAAAAGGTAAAAACCATAAAGAAGTGATCCAATTATAGCTTCGAACAAGTTCCTGCTATACAACACCATTATTAAACTTTAAAATAATGAAAATCAACTAATTAAATACCTTTACGAGATTTTCTTTTTTTTAAAAAAAAAAGATTTTAATCCATCTACTATAAAAAATTATAGTATGACCTAGCGTATAAAGATTTAAGGAGACATGCATTAATGAATTTGGTAAATTTGGCAAACTAGTCACTGGATATTTTTGCAGTTAAGGGTAATTAGGATTTAGGTAAACCGGTTGAACAGTAAATATGAGTTAAGAAGTTAGGTAAGATTGGCAAGCGTGTATTAGAGTAGTTAAGAAAATTAAGCAAAGTCGATAAGCTTAATTTATTAGTATTATAGCTGCTAGATATTGGAGTATTTGAACAGTTAAAGAGATGGTAAGTAGGTTATTGGAGTATTATCGCAACAAGTGTCTTTCTAAAGAGTTAAGTAAGGTTGGTAAAGTGGTTCTCTGGCATTTTTAGTTATTAACGAGTTAGATAAGTGTCATAGCAATAGAGATTTGTTAAGGAGTCAGGTAAAATTGATAAGCTATTTACTTGAATCATAGACCAACGGAGTTTTTTAATTTTCGCAATCCGCCCGAGTCGTTTACTATGAAATCTCTATTATTATTAAACTAGTATCATCATAAATAGTTTTTTCAAGATTTATGATGATCCTTAATAATTTCTCTTCCAATTCATAAATAGTTCCTTAAAACCATTGATGATTTATTCTGGAAAATATTCAAATAGGAGCTCTACGTTAAAGGCAAATAAATATTCAGTCATTGAGTTAACTTTTTCCCATATTAATTAATTGCGTAATGAATTTCCATAAATACTCTAGTCGATTCGGAAAAAGATCTAACGGTGACATGCCAAATAGAGTTATTTCAAAAAAAAAAAAAAATGTATAATTAATTTAAGATAATCTCGAACGAGAGTCATTACTATTAATTTCTCTTTATTGATTACAACAAATTAAATTAAACTCGATTAAACAAGTATGCAAGCAGATGCAGATTACAAAGATTCTCGATGTAAAATATAAAATCATAATGAATGAATAAATGAAAATTAGCTGAAATGTTAAAATTAAACGTCGTGAAATTATAAATGTTATAATTTAATTAGAAGTAAGATTCGAAGCAAAATTTGCTAATTCACTTAGAAATTTGTTTATTAATATTGTTAAGCTGTGCACTCAATTTATATCAGTATTTTATCGACAACAGGAGGTTGTAATTTTCAGTCTTTAGTCTAAGTAAACTCCTTTTAGAGATTAAGCTAAAAAGTATCATATCAAGTCAAGTCACGTTTTATATTTATTTTATTGAATCTTATTTGAATAACTTTAACGTAAATATTTTATACTTTTCTTTTTTTTTAAATATTTAGTTCCATAACATCAATCTTAATGTCAAAATTCTGGTTTTCTTTACGCTAGGGAAAACTATCTTTTCATTAATTAGTTAAACGCATAATTAACCTGAATAATTACTGTGCAAATAATCTAATTTTAACTGATCTGAAATCCGAAACTATTCGATCAATAATCAAAATAAAAAGATTAACTTTAAAATTGCTATAGTTACACAACCTTTGTAACAATTCAAATGTATGTCATTTTAAATACTAAGTAGCGATAGATTTTATTAAAAAAAAAAAAATAATGATTTTCGTTACCGTAATCTCTTTACTTACAACGCTATGACACCGAGTTTACATGATTAATGAGAAAGGATCGTTCCCCAATCCTCCTAAACACGCTCTAATTCGGTTTGTTTAGCCTAAGCAGCTCCACTTTCCTTTTGGCAATTGGCCAAAAGATTTTCAATGGGATTTAGGTCTGGACTTTTAGAGAACCAATCCATAACCTCCATGATATTAATATCAAGAAATTCCTAAGCAACAATACTAGTATGCTTAGGAGCATTGTCTCTTTTGCAACCGCCATCTCCTCGTATCATACTGCGCACTTCCGGGAATTTCTTTACTAACATTTCCGCATAGAAATTTCCGTCCATTATACGACTAAAACAACAAAAGACTGGTAGTACCCTTTATACAAAACCACCCAAGCGAATATTTTACTTCGGTCCTTTGGCATTGGAGAGCATTTTTATACCAATACTTTATCTTATTACGGTATAATTGGAAAGCCGTTTCGTCACTAAATATGGTCTTTTTCCGATCATCATCCTTGTGTTTTTGAGCCCATTCAACACGTTTTTGCTTATGGAAGGGGAAAGTGTATTTCGGTATCCAAATGCCTCGAAATTGTTGAGCACTTTCCAATTTAGCAGCTACAGATCTGGTAGAAAGTGTAGGTTCTATACTTGTTACCCATACTATATGGATATGGGATAAAGTCCTAATCCCATCCATCCTAAATCCAAATTCCTTAAACAAAAACTTTAACAAACTATATTATCATAATTAATGGTTATAATTTAGTATATTAGCTTCGTCTTGATGAGAAGATACAAATGATTATTATTTGATTGTTGTTAGTGGGATATTGATTAGGTTATACTTAAAATATTTTATACTAAATGGGATTTGGGATTGGGATTTGGTATATGGGGAATGGACTTTAAATATTGTATAGGATTTAGGATTCTATAGAATGTGATATGGACAGCAACTGTAGTGGGTTCTCTTCGAATATACAGTCCAATTTCCCGGGATGCACTTGGTGTTATGTTTTTTAATACGGCACTACCACTTTTGCGTTTATCACTTTGGAGGTGGTAAAAAGCTTTCACGGATTAGTTAAACTTGTCGATCTTTTTTTTTAAAAAAAAAAAAGATAAAAATGAATATATTCTTGATGGCAAAATGAACGATATTGTGATTTTATCTCTAAATACAAGGTTTAATTTATAGTAAACGCAAATTTTGATTTAGAATGTTTTTTCGATGATTTATTTTTGTAGGATCATGTGATTGATTCAAAAAATTTTGTTACACAATGTAATAAATTTAACTTTCTTGAGGTAACGGAAGTAACAATAAACAATTTCTAATGATCGATAAAATTTTTTCTTATCGTATAAAACATTACAAAGTTCTTGACGCGATTTATATAAAATAATTATAATATGACAAACTAATTGTAGGAATAAACTTGAACGTATTTTGCATAATTACGGAATGATTAATAAAATTTTTTTTCTCGCGTGAATAATATTAAGAATAAAAAGAAATGAGAATAAAAGACGATTTAAGTAAAAAAAATCTTTTCATCACTTGACACAAAAAAAATAAAAGGGACTAATAGTAAATATTTTATCATCATTATTTAAGTAAATTAACATAATAAAATGTATAAAATTGTAAAAGGGAAATAAAACTTCCGTTAACGAAAGGATTATTTTAATTACCTTCACTTTTAGAAATCGTCAATGCTATCTAAAACTTCCTTTGCAGGATTTTCCGACAAAAAGCAATCGATTTTCAAACGTTTTGATATGGGCTCATCATTTGTAGCCGAAATGAGGAGGTTTTGATCTCTGTTGATGTGATAACGTTTTTGCCATTTCGATTTATCAGATTCCGATAGTTGCTTCCACCATTTGGATACCAATCTGCTGTATTCGCCCATTGGCATCTTAGGAGGCTTATGCTTCATCATTTCTTTGCGATAGGAAATGAACATGTTTGGCAACCTCCTTTTTGGTTGTCTTGTCTCATTATCTTCATTAAATGTATATTGGAATATTTGTAGTTCATCACTCATCCTTTGAGAAATGTTTTAGAAATGTTCGAAAGATGTAATGGAATAATAAGACTTGTATACGAGTAATAAAAAAAATTGATGAATGGCAAGGCGGCAGATAGACTTCATATTATATTTATGACGAATTTTTTTTTTTTACAATTAATTATTGTTTTTGATTGTTCCCGCAACGTCGATTCCTCAAAAAAAAAACTGAACTTATCATGATGACTATTACTCTAATATACAATGTGAGCGCAAAATCATTATTCTCCTTTTTTTTTATTTTTTTTTTTTTTTGATCTAAGCACATTTAATTCTAGAATCCTTTTCGTTAACGAGTACCTGCCCGCCCAATTACAAGGATATTTTCGGATTTAGCATACTCGGAAAAACCTTAATCCTTTCATTCCTATCAATCAAATACAAGGAAACAGCATTTTATGAATATTAAACTTTTAATACATGAACAACTCAATCAAAAATAAAATCTCTCTGTGTGATGATTTCATGTGTTATATGATTAACATAATAAATGCGCGTGATAAATTATTTCGCAAAAATTCCGCGTTTTGAACTATAAATATAAAATGACGAGTAATGTTAACAACTTTGCATGTAACATAAACAACTAGAATATCAATTTGTAATCAGTCCGATTTATTTGTCGCACATTTTACTGCGTCAAATTTACAATCAACAAGCAGTTCATTGTTCACATATATAGTTATATAAAGAAATTGAATGATGGCCATCTTGCTAACACATGTCTATAATACTTGACACATATTTATTTACTTGAAATGTTATAATAAATACTTTGTCGCAGCAGACCTTTTTAAAATTATATTGAAATTATATTATAATTTATTTATAAACCTCTCCTAAATATAAAACATCCTTTCAACTTCCAATGGTTTAACATTTTTATTTAACCCCCGTTGCTTTATAACTATATACACAGTGTATAAAAAGACCGACATCTTTTAATATCAATTCTTGTGATACATTGGAACTAAAGTTAACTAAAGTTCTTATCTATGTATTTATTTACTGTATATCTATATAGTCTAATAACATAGAAAACGTGCTTCATAACGAATGCACACGGATTTATCTTGGACAAAAAAAAAAAAAAAAAATCTAATTATCTTGAACGTCTAGGATTTTTAACAAGTTTCTCTTCATCTCTGGAAATTCTTCGGGTCTCCATTCATTATTCTTAATTAACTCATTAACCTTTCTACGTGATGTATCAACATTAGCGTAATAATAACTAAGTAAGGTAAACGATATTAATTAATGCATTAAACAAAGAATATAAAGAATGAAAAGAGATTTGACGACGATCACTTACATGGTGTCCGGGAACCAAGATTTCCAACGTCTTTGATGTGGTAACATGTAAAACATTTCAATTTCTTTCAAAATCTATTAAAAGAGGAAAAGAAAAAAATAAAATAAAATAAAACAAAAGAAAATATTTATATGGATTCAAATAAAAATAAAAATAACCTCTGCTTTTTGCAACAAATACGAAACTCGATTGTCATCTTTCCCAATCTCTATATTTAACAAACCGATGAGCAAATTCATGAGATATACAACGACCAAGAATGAGAACCCACTCATTATCGCGACAAAGAACGGATTTTCTACGTATGTCCATTTGCTCATGGCACTTGCATCGCCTATAATAGATTTTCGAGTAAAATAATGTATTAAACATTCGAATGATTAATAAATGATACGTTTAAAAAAACTTATGTATGTACCCGTTAGAGAAAAGTACATTGCAAGTAGCGCGGTTTTAAAATGGGAAAACATGTTTGTATTTTCATCAGGCTTTTGAACTATGAATGGCTCTTGACTAATCGATCCATCTGGTAGTACTTGGTAATAAGCATCAACCATATTCCAGGGATTATTGGTGTCGTTACTTTTTACACGTCTATCTAAATCAACGTGTTCTCTTGGCTTTAAAAGAATATAAAAAGCATGAGCAAATCCAATAAGTATGAGAAATAAAAGAAATATGAAATAAAAGATTTTTTTCGCGACATTTATAACGATCGTAAAGTAAACACCAAATTGCTCAAACACTCTGAAAAAGAATATGAATTTTAAATCCAAAAATAGACACGCAAATCCAAATAAAGTGGAATAACTAAGGTAATCATTATAATTATGGTAATCTATCTGAAACAAAAGAAAGGAGGCACTTAGTGGCAAAACGTAAGCTGTCGTATCTATAATGAAGCAAAAAGTTTATCACTTCTTTTTTTCAATCAAAGAAACAATACAAAAAATAAATGATAAAATACTTTCAAAATACCAAGTAAATTTCGATAATCCTGAAACCATTTAATGGGACTATAAATAAATTGACGAATTTCAACGGTCAAGTGAATAAATCCAAGAAATGTTGAAGCAATTAAAAGTTGAGTTCTGATTTTATCAGATATTTCGGATATTGTTGTAGCAATGACGAAGCAAATGAGAAATGCATTAAACGTGAACCAAATTATCGCATAATAATATTTTCCGTATGTATTCCACTTGAAATTAATTAATGCTTCACCATCCCAAGTTTTATAAATCTCTTCGGTTATCGTATCTCCAAATGGACTAGTTTGAGGTCGAATTAATTCCCACCAAGTGTATTCTTCAGGATAGCTAACAAATTTGATGTAAGGTACCATAAAAGTAATCATGGGGCTTAAGTCTTGGTTAAATAACTTTGAATAGATTTTTTTGAACGAATAGACTATAATATAATAACAAGCAAGGAACCCGTCATGTAAATAAATATTATTAATAAAGTGAAACCCATCTAAAAGGGAATATATCGAAAAGGAAATAGGTAATGTTAAAAAAAACGCCAAACATTCTATGATAACATAAAACAGATATAATAGAAATGCAAATGAGTCATTATCTATTGTTCCCAATTGAAAATTATATTTAGACATAAAAATCGATCGAGTCAAATTAATCGTTTTAATATTTTTTGAAAAGGGGTAAAGATGTAAAATATTTAGATGTTCTTTCTTATAATCCGAAGAATCTATTATCATGGCTGTATCTAATGAATACCTTAAAAGATATTCAGGATAACATATCTTCAGAAATGGCATCGAAGAATTAATGATGGTTAAAAACGCCTTATTCCTTTCTAAATCTTGTTTAAAATAATTTAAACATTTTTTATAGATATCATTAATTAATTTTAAATCATGAACTTCAATAGCAAACATCAATAATGCCGTCCCATGTTTTAAAAAATTTTCTCGATCATTCTTTACGTATGCAACCCATCCATCAATAGGAAGTTTTCTATCATCTTCAAGATATTTATTGGAGATGAACATAAATTTACTCAACCAATTAAGGTTAACTTGTTGCCTCAGTTGATGGTGTATGTATTGAAAATAATCCAAAATTAATTCGTTCTTTTCATTTAGATGGAAAATAAAAACGCCAAAGTTTGTTGATATGACAATTTCTTTGGTCTTAAATATCTTAACTTCTTCTATCTCTACTTCTATTTCATATTTAGTTTTTTTGAATAACTCGCAAATTTGCTCATTTTTAACATTAAAAACGCGCAATCCAATAATTTCATTAAGAATGAAAATATCCAATCTAATATCTTCATCTTTATAACTTTTAGGTATTTGTAGAAACAGTATATCTTTGTCAATGTTCATATCTAGAATAAATGGATTTTCATATTTTTCACGACTATCATCACGATCAAAATATGTCATCCAACTTTCCGTGAATTGATCATCATAATCAGCCTTTATCTCCAACGAAAAATCGAAATCAATCTTGTCAATTTGAATCTTCCAAACATATCCTCCTACAACTAAAATCATATAGTTTTTTGACTGGCAATTGTAAAATAAGCAAGGAAGGTTTTGTAAATCTTCAGCCTCGTATTCTGTGGATGGTCGATTATGCTTCTTAAATTGATCTAAGCAAATATTCCGACAGTACTTTGTGATATAATCCAAAATTTTATTGTTTGAATTTTGATCCATTAAAGTCAGCAGCAAACAATGTAACTCAGGAGTATTTTTCATAAACTTGAACAGTCGTAATTCTGAAAAAAATATTACCAGAAACGTCAATATAATTATAATTATAGCATACGTGTAATAAAATATACTCGCACCATCATTTGAGTCCGCCGAAGCGATAGGAATAGGAATCCCCATCAAACTTGAATAAACAATGATATTGTTCTTTATTTTTAGACAGGTATATTTTTTATAATCAGAAATTCTAATATCTTTCGTTTTAATCTATTATTATAAATAAGAATTAGTTCCTAATATTTTTTCTTTTTTTTCTCTAAAAAAAATTACCAATTACCCCGCGTGAGATTCTTGAGATGACCATCGTTTCCTTATTCATAATATTCCATTCATGGATATGATCATCTGAGCGTAGCCAAATTTTATCAAATTTTGATATGCTTATTATCTCTGTTATTGCAGGTACTGTATAAATCTTTTGACACATCCATCTGTTTCCTCGCGTCGAATAGACCCAGACAATATTATGTTCTTGTATATCACCATCAACGCCAAACAAAATAAATTGTTCTCTAGCGTTAAAGCTGCAATAAAATTGATCCAAAAAATATTTAAAATATAGCTCTATTTTTCGATCCTGATGATTCATATCAATGATTTCTAATAAACAAAATACATTAATTAATCAATTAATCACCACAATAAAAATTATAGGATATCAAATTTGTACTTACTCAAATGATCATGTATACCATTTGATTTCAGATCAGAAGTCGAAACACGTGAACCATATTCGACATTACTATACGCTAGTATCTTTTTATCGGAAACACACATGTGAACGATCTTACTCTCTTTGTGTTCAATGTGTATAATGTGTGAATCGTTTTCATCGGCTTTGATTGGCTCAAGACTGCCTTCTTTATTGTCAACATTCCACCCGACAACAGTATCGTCGATTTCACTATATGTAACAATATATTTGCCGTTTGGCGACATTTCGATCATAGTAATTGGTTTACCGTCATGAGGACATTCCTTCTTATCGGTTTCACTGACGAAACCTCTTTTTTCTTCCGTGTCACTGGTATCGTAAAACATTTTAATTGTATTCCTTTGGTTTAAGAGAGAAAGTTCTGTTTAGAAGATCTTCTATCATCCTTTATATATTGTATATATTCTACCAAGATATATATTAAAAAAAAAAACCGAGACGTGTAACAACATTAGCTTAGCGGGTATGATTAATAATAGTCGCATATTTAGCCACAAAATATAATAAGTAATAAAAATGAGGCTTAGCTTTAAGTTAAAATGTCGACGATCAAATTTTTTTTTTTTTTTATACCGAACCGATTTTAAAGAGATCAACATAAGCGTATTATTCGTGGCTTAATTGATATATTTGCGGCTTAGCTCTATCAATTGTCAACTTTCTGTTTTTTTTTTTATAATGGATTTTTTCCAAATTTTAATCTTTAACCAGTTCCATAATGACAGAAACAAGTAATTCTTGGCTTTTATCAACCAAAAAATTGTTTCACCCGATGACAGCCACAAATCGCCCACAACCGATCATGCTTCTATGTAAAATTTCCTTAAAATTATTTGCATTATGACGAATTTCTTGATGGTGTGCCCGATATTAATTTTCATAGGCATTAATTTTCGATTTCAAAGTTAGCCAAAACAAGTGACTGAATCGCGACAAAAAAAAAAACCGTGGCAAAATTAAGTGGACTCTCATTATAAGTAATACCCGAGTTTATGAAATATATCAATATAGTGAATTCAGTTTATTTGGCAATTATATATTTTTACCACATCGATTTAAAAATGCATAGCCAATCTCAATAACTTTGAATATTATTATTCATTACTGTTTCAGAATCAAGATTCCTGTTCTTTAAAATTTGCTTTCTATCCAGTCTAACCATCAATGCATACTGTGGTATTTCATTGTGGAGACAAATCTTAATAGTATTATCATCTTTGGTCCAATAAGTTTGTCAGGGAAATATTTCAAAGATTTCTGATGGTAAACTAAATATAATTTGAACCACTGCCATTTCACGAATTGTTTGGACTTTTCATCCTACTTAAAACCTTAAGTCCTTTCGCCCACACATTCTATGCGTTAGTATTGTTGTTACATTAATTACAAGACGATAATTTCGTTATAATTTGTCATTTTAGTTAGACTTTGTAGATCTATTTCTGGCCTCAGGTGATTGGTCAATTGATCTTTTTATAAATAATAGTATCGCTATTACGATTGAATGTAATTCCGGCCGAAATCTTCATAACTCCGCATGTGAATCGCTTTCGATATTTACAGTTAGTCTCTTTGATGATCATTTGCCAGGCTATCGGTGCCAGGATGTCAAGTCAGGGCGCCAGGTTGTCAAGGTGCCGGTATGACAAATGTTCAAGATGCCAGGCTGGCTTAATTATTTTTTTTTTATATATACCGAGCTGGAAATCCTAAAACAGCTCAATATCCACGCTCGCCCTTGTTATATTTCTTTGATCTACATTCCTTCGAAATCCTCCTTTTACATCGCGATAATTTCGATTTCGCCGTTTTAACTTTATAACACTGATTAATTTGATATTATTAAATAAATACTTGTCACAATTACTTCATTTTTATTCATAAAAACCTTCTGCTTACATTAAATTGTTTATAAATACATAAACGAAAGAACTGGAATACAACACTATCATATAAAAATTTTTTTTATAAATAAACTACGTTTTGTTTTTGTTTTAGATGTATTAGATGGAGGAATCTGAATATCTTCTATTAAAGAGATAAACTGAGGCGGTAATAGTTGGTTTTCATTTGTTTTCTTAATTTCTTCATAAAATCTTGATCGCCATTCGCCTCGATTATAAAATATCGTCTTCGTCTTTGTAAAGCATATCTTACCTCAACGAGATAACACATCCAAATGTGTTGACGCAAACGTAAGAATCGTAAAGAAGAACTAAAATTTATAAAAAAAATAATTTTCAATTGAACCTTATTTCCAATATTACCGCAGCTAATAATTATCAAATTACCAATCGTTGCCGCAGCCAAGATATTTATGTGTGAAAAGATTATTTATGCTTCTTCTTGCTCCCTCATTTACAGAATATAGAAAAAATTAGAATAATAAAATATAATAAATGAACTTAGAAAATATGCCGATACCGGAAAAAAATCAAAAAAAACTGCTTATACGGAGCCTAATTACCGCAATTGATATAGATCGCCTAAAGAGAGTTTTTAAATTTATATTTTATATAAAGAAGTTTCAAAATCCCAATAAGTAGAAACTCGTTACAATAATGCAAAGGAAAGAAAATTTGTATTGAAAATGATCGGACATTTTGAAAATAAAAAAATTAAACTCGTTTTCTTACAAAATGTCTGACAGTAACAATAAAGGTAAAAAGCTAAAAAGGAACAAAAAGCAAGAGGCTTTTATTTTACAATTGGATCTGAATGAACATTCTAAATTTTATTTTTTTATAAAAATAACAAACTCACTTTAGAGCCAGCTTTAGATGCCAAGAAAGTATCTTCATTAGAAGAAATAGAAGGTAATACTAACCAAATTTAAATACTATAATTCATTAACAATACTCGTTTTTGTTCACTATTAACCAATACCATGAAAAATTGTAATGAAACATTGACCCTTGAGTGATGAAGATAAATATAGAATACGTTAATTATGTAATTTACCAAAAATTTTAATAATTTGAAATGTAGAATTAGTTTCGAGTCATGAAGGTAAATACAATAGCAAACAACAAAAATATTATAATCTGTTAATTATACTCCATTTTTGTTCAAAACCTTCGAAGTATTAGATGGTGATTAATTAACTTCAAAATAAATACATTTGAAAGAGCCAGTTTCAGACACTTTTGATGCTCCTACATTAAAAGAATTAAATGTAATAAATATTATTTATTAACTAGTTTTCATTATATGAATCGTTTATAATTATCAAAAAGTGTAGTATAGTACTAGTTAACAATTTTATATGAATAGACCTGTAAGTTGACCTTGAGTCAACAGAGTTCGATCAGATAGTTTTCTGAATAAGTCTTGAGACTAATAAAGTTACTATTTTACTCTTTCAACCTTCTTCTTGTCTTCATAACCTATTACACAAGTGAATCGCATAAAGTGAATTGTGATAATAAATTGTTTTGTTTGTTAATCGTTAATTTCTCTTAGGAAAGGCCTTCGAGATAATTGTATTATTCTGTTTATTGGTTTTTGTTAGCTTGGTTTTGAGACGATTCCAGGTCTAACAACGGATCGAATACACATTATTGCAAAGTATTTATTGGGCGACGATTAAGTGTGCGGACAGAGAAACGCAATACTCACTTGACATTTTTTTTTCATAATCAATTTTACTTTTATATGCCAAATATGATTTTTAGGTCAAAATATGTTCAGATTTTGCATTAACTCAATTTTTATTTTTTCCAGCCGTTTCCCCCTTTTCTATTGCAAAATTTCCATATAGTCCTTCGCTTCGTTCCGGATAATTAAAAAACGATATCTTGTAAATTTTGTTGATAATATTGTGAAATATAAAACTTTTATAAACGTTGTCATCGATAAATCAGAGGTCACGTATTAAATATAAATTCGGGCTGTTATCTCAAAAAAATGAATAATATAAATTACATGGTTAATAGCTGATACTTCGATTCCATATATCCTTTTTCATAATCAGCCTATAATACTTCGTACATGCCGGAAATATTGATATTGCTTCCAATGATTTTTTGAGCTACGAAACGCACCAACTTCAATTTATTGTGATTTCGGTACCCATATACAAATATTGATGATAGATAATAGCAGGATAAACAATTTCAGATTTTAATCGTACATTCTTCGATGAAGGTAAATTTAGCCACGTTCTCAAGCTTTTGATATCCTAGTGCTATGAAACCGATGTTGAGCCCCACCAATGCAATTTGGTATTTTTTTTGGAAAATATCATTCAATCTCTAAACCTTTCAAGAAAGGATCAATCATAGATTTCTCGAAAATAATTTCTTGGCTTCTGGATGCATCTGATCTAGAATTTGCTGAATATTCTTAGCCTCAAGCTTAAGAATTTTTAATTTTGCTAAATCGGTATAAGATTTTTATGTATTTACAATATTTCGTAAAAATTATTTAATAATACATTTATGAAATATATCTAAACCAAATTCTATATTTAACCCGTCCTCACATAATACACAAGGAAATATTGTCTAGTAATGATCAGAAGATTACATTATATTGGCCATATGTTCAAACCATTAATGGAATATAACTAAAAATTTTAGTGTTAATCAATTTAAACTAACTGAATCAGGACAACAAATTCCCTTAGAGAAAAAACTAAATTTATTATCGTTATTGTTTCTTTTTTTTGGAATTACTAAATAAGGTCTAGATCGAAAAAGAATCTGCCATTTTTCATTTTCATTTTTTTTTTTAAAAAAAAAAGGAAGACTATAATAAATCGATAAGTTGTTCTATAACATGTAAGTCTCAATTATTACCTATTCTTCATAAAATTTTTTCATTCTTTCATTAATCTTAATCTAATAAGGATACAAAAAGTACCGTCGGATAAAGAAAGTTCGCTATCGTTGGATATAAATGAAGAAAAATTGTCCCAGTTGGATATCAATGAAGAAAATTTGCCACCGTTGGAGATCAATGCGCCAGTTATACTCTTAGTTGGAAAAACAGGTATGCATTGATATTGTGCCTTTCCTTCATTGCTGGAAACATTCATTCTTATTACTTAGGTGCTGGTAAGAGTACGTTGGGAAATCATTTGTTAAGAATCTCGGAAGATGAAAATTGCGCTTTTAAGGTCTCCGAAGATTTTGTAAGCATTTAACATATCGATATGAACTTAATATAATATTAAATGTAGTTTTAACAATTAATAAAAGATCCGAAAAATTTTCAAACATGTTAGGATTCGACAACCAACAAATCTAGCTCCGCGGTTTACCAAATTAAAGACAAAACTTACAACATTATCGACACGCCTGGGATTTTTGATACCAAAAAGCCCAATGAAGAAATCATGGAAGAAATCGCGCGCACTGTACAAAGATGTGCTTATGGAATCAAGGCCATATTATTTGTTTTTGGTAAGTAGTAATTATTAAATCAAGTTGTGTTAAATCTAGGATTAACTGTACGGTGCTGTTAATAGAAGCCAAAAGGTTTACGGATGAGCAAAAAAACGTGATCGATGGTATATCGACGTTTTTCGGAGAACAAGCTTTTCTATACATGATTTCTGTCTTCTCGAATTGTAACAAAAAAAATACAAATGATCCAAAAAATTTTGAAAAGTCTTGGAACGATAAAGTTCGCATGTTCGTCAATCGCATGGGTAATCGGTGGGCCATTTCTCCGAATCCAGACATCTTTCCCCCTGGTACTCAAATGCATGAAACATGTCTAGAAAAGTTAGAAAATACTATTTATGACCTAAATGGAATATATACAAACGAATTGCTCGAAAAGACACGAAAGGAGCAAGAAGAACTCGTGCGGATTGCAAGGGAAGAACAAGAAAAGAGACAGAGAGAATATGATGAGATTAAACGAACGGAAGGTAGAGCTAGGGCAGAAGCAGAATACTTGAAAAGAAAGGCTGAAGATGATGAGAGAGCACGTATTGCAAATGATAAACAAATTGAAAAACTTAAGGATAGCATATATGAAAAAATTAGTGATCTTGAAAAAAGTATAAGTGACCTTCGACGAGAAAATGAAGAACTTCAAAAAAAACTTAATCAAGGAGGTTGTTTCTGGCTTGAAACCCGAGTTAAGCTTGAATCTGGAAGAATCGTTCGAATGTCGGAACTTCAAGTAGGGGATCGAGTGTTGTCAAACATCAGAAATGATATTGAAGAGTTTTCAAATGTTTACCTTATCGCTCACATTGGCAAACTCGATCGTGAAGAAAAATTTACCAAGATAAGCTTCACTAAACCAGACGGCTATAAAAGTACTATTTCAAATTATTTATAAGTCAAAATAAATAAAACACTCAAAATAACTGTTACTTATTCGCTTTTAGGTCATTTACGGCTCACAACCACTCATTATGTCTTCAATGAAAATTTATCTATCATGTTTGCCAAAGATTTACTTCCTGGAAAAACCAAGATTTTAGTATCTGATGATAATAATAAGCTTGTTCCGGTCATTGTTGATGATATAACGAATGTAAGTTGGATCGGAACATTATTTCTTACGATTGGCAATAAATTTTCTGAAAATATCTGATAGATACTTAATATTCTCTTACTATTAATTATAGGAATGGCACGATGAATATATTAGCTTTTACACTCGGGCGGGTTCAGTTATCGCCGAAGGCGTATTTTGTTCTTGCTACGACGATTGCCCGCCTTCTCAGTGGCTCATGGACCTTGTTTTTTTACCAGTTCGCTGGTGGACCCTTTTCAAACCAAGCACGCATCGTGAAAAATGCCTTCATCCTTATGTTCAGTTATTGGAAACTGCATATTTTTCTTTTATCAATTTATTTGTGCAATGATTTTTATATAATTAACTAGTTTTTTCTCATTAAAATATTTGTTATTATATCTCTTGAAAATCTGCAAGTAATATTGATTGAAGAATGAATAAAGTTGGGATTCTTTTTTTAAAACATTTAAATCCGTGCTTTATAAATTTAACCTGTGTTAAATATTGCTTATCGCTGTGCCGATTGTCATGAAAATGAAATCGACAACTTTTATATATTTTATCTCTATTACATTATTTAGTTTATCTCTCATTATGTATTGTATTTAGTTTATCATTTATTATTATAGAAAGGCGTAGTTTAATATTAGTTAATAATTTTATATAAATAGACAAGTTGACTTTAGTCGACAGAGTTTTAAAATTCTTCAAAGAAGTTTTTGGATATAAGCCTTGGGACTCGACTTATAACTTATCCTCCAATAATACTCAAATTCCTGAAATAGAGAAAAGAAGTAAAGTTGAGGATATCTCAATTTTTTTTTTTTTTGATTTGTATTTAAAATTATTAACTGAAAAGCGAAATGAAAATGCACATCACGAACTCTTAATATGCTACCACTACTTCTGGATATTAACTTACCATAACGAATCTTGAAAGAACATGAGGTTCTGAAGAAGGTCTAGATCCAAAAATGTTACTAAAAATGCGTTCTGTAAGAAACGGAGAGCTTTTTCATATTTGTGCCAATTTTACTCAATAAAAACTTCAGCTTACATTTGAAATTGTTTATAAATACAACAATACTGTATCATCACTTTCGCAATGTCAATATATTAAACTAAATAAATGCCAATACATAAAACTCTATTTAATTAAAACTACGCAATTGTGTAATAAAATAATAAGATAAATCGGAAATTAAAAAATAAACGAAGTTACAAATTAAAATTATAAAGATAAAACGGCGAAAGCGAATAAAGAAGGCTTGTTGAGATGTTTGTATGCAAATACAAGAAGGGCGAGCGTGGAATTTTTTTAGTTGTTTAAAAATTTATAGCTCGTATTTATAAAAAAATAATTATTACAGTAACAGCCATTCTGCCAACCTGCACCCTGTCAAATGATCTTCAAAGGACTAACTGCAAATACCGAAAACAATTTACATAACTTATGGTGTCTTCAGGCGAAATTATATTCAGTATCATCTATTTCAATATAAGTTCAAATAATATAAACATATGTATAAGACTTGGCAATATAAAGAGGGAATTTGCCGCAAAAATCTATTTACTTTTATATGCAAAATATGATTTCTAGGTCAGATTTTAGCATTAACCCATTTTTCATTTTCCCGGCAGTTTCCCCACTTCTATTGCAAGGTCGACTCTCAAAATTACATCATATAATTTTAAATTTAGTTTGCAAATCTTCTATATAACGATAAGTTGATAACTATTCTCAGGAAAAAATATATGTAATAGTACTGCGAAAGATAAAGTGCAGAAAATCAAAATAAATGTATTTTTATAATAATAAATGAAATGCAGAATTCTCTTTACAAAATATGTATTTAATAACGAAATTGAATTCGAAACTGATCAGGATTAAATAATTAATACTTCAATATCTTCTATTTGCTAAATATTAATATTTTGGATGATATGATGATGCGCATGTAGTGTTATTTATTCTTATAATATTTTATAAAATTTATGAAAATTTTTTCAAGTACTCCAACACATAATGTGACTAAACTTGATATAAGAGTTAAAGAAGGTAAAATTGTATAAGAAATTATATGTTTTTGATAATAAACCTAAAATTTACAATAGTTTAGTTGAACTGTTTTTTTTTTTTTAAAAAAAAAAAAAATAATACGAGTGAGAAATTACCTGAATAATAAATTGTGGAATTTCTTCCAAGAAAATATTAAAACAACCAGCATAAGTTACCCATTTAGTGATTTTTTCAAATTTAGGTGCCGAAAATAAAGCTCTGAATAATTCAAGTCTAAGATTCGGATTAACATCGTTAATGAATGTATTTAATATATGAAGAGCTTCTACATCAGCACATGATATTATTGTATATGATGCAACGGTTAATTCATTATCACAACACCAATCTCTAAAATCTTTGTTATATTTAATTTCCAGACATAATAAAAATATAGCCACAATTGTATTAAAAGCTATTGGAATTATAATTGATAAAAAGCTAAAAAAAATTAAGCAAAGTTATTAATATAATATGCAATTATGAAAAATAAACAATTATAAAAAAATTCTTACCTATAAATATGTAAACCAGGAATGTCATCAGCATTAGAAAGAAGAAAAGCAATATCCATTATTAAATCATAAACGATCAAAATGATCTTAATAATAAAGAAATAATTGCCCTAAAAAATAAAATCATTAATAATTTGTGAATGATATTAAATAATGAATTCGTTAATTTTTTATATACACTGTACCTTATAATATTGAAGCAAACAATAAATAATAATCACAATAGCAATCACGATTATATTGACAATTAATTCAACTGACCAAAAATTATCTATAATTTCAAGAACAATAATTCATAAAGTTAAAAATGATAAATAAGAAAAGTTGTTATTTAAAATTAATATACTTACGAGTTGGTTGAGCTCCATAACCTTTATCTATAAATTTCGTAATATTTCCTTGAGATATAAGATTAAAATCCATATTTTTAATTAATTCATCCAAATCTTTCTTTACTGATTCAGTATTTCGTTCCATACTATAATTATTTGGTTTATTAACAGCGATGGATAATAAAACCTGTTTCTGATCTTTCCGATCAGCATTTAAATTTTGAATATGATTAATTTCTAATCTTTGTGAATTTATAGGCATTATTTTAGATAATTCATTTTGAAGTTGACCAAATATGTAAGTGTTTTGAGAATTTACTTCATCATAATATCCAGTCATTGCATCATTAAATTTTAATTTAATGGAAAGGATTAATTGATCTATCGAAGTAAGCAAAAAGTAATATAGTTAGTTAATTATGACAATTATTTTTATGAAACGTCTTATAAATATACCTGATGGTTGATCTTGTTCTTTCAATTCTAAGATAAAGTTAATAAAGTTATCAATATAAATTTACGCATTTAGGAATTTATAATTAAAACTTACGAGTTGAAAATCTCCATATCTTTTCAGAAATTCCGAGTAAAGGTTCTTGTGTTTTTCGAGACTTGACAAAATTATTATCAACCCGAACACTAAAATTAGCATTGCCTTTGTGAAATGTGCTAGGTAAAATGTTGATTAACACCGTATCGTTTTGCACTTCGCAATCATCATAAAAATTTTGTCCGGAAATTATCTGTCTTAGAGACAAGTTGTTCTCCTCATCATATTGATATATCGTCAAATTTCCGGTTGATAAAATTATAGGAATATTGTAAAATATCTTCAATTGTAAATTATCATTTGGTAAATAAATAGTTTCATTGATACTCGGTGACGTATTATTAATATTTGGATTTTGAATCATGTAACGATAATCTGTAAAATAGGAAGTTAATAAAGTGCTGTTTGATTTAATAAATTAACATAATGAGTTAACCTTACCGGATGAATCAATAGTATTTAAAGAAAAGTAATCGATCGTAAAATTATAATTAAATACCCGTAAAGTCCAAAAAACATTTTGTTTTTGAATTAAATTTATATTTATATGTGTTACATTATCTAAACTATTAATATATTTATTTTTTGTACTAGTAGTATTGACCTCATAATTATGATCAATATCATAAAAATCAATCTTATTATCAGTGTTGTTGAGGATAAAGCCGACATATCCGCCATAAAAATTGGGATAAAAAAATTTTCCATAATAATATTGATAAACGTCTATATTGGTGTAACCAACCGAAGTAACTGCGCCATTTGATAGAAAACGAATTTGGGAACTTTCTGAATGATCATAAATTGTACATGTATATCCGGTGCCATCAAAGTTATTAATGCAATCTGTAGAATTAGATTAGGCAGTAAAGAACATAATTATGTTATTGTTGTTTGACATTTAATACAAATGAATTATAATAAATTAATTATATACCATCAATCAGAATTAGCGATTTATAGTCTTTGAATTTGAATGCATGATGTAATAAATAAGGTCCTAACGGTTCAGTTGCATTAGGTTCCAAAAGGTTTACATAAACTTCATCGACATTGAATTTATCTATTCCATGACGATAACTTATAGCTATCCCAAATCCGCCATCGATAAGTTGAAAATATTTCACATTGGAAGGATAAAATGTACTATTAGATAACGGATTCAAAAAACTCCCTTCGGTTATAAGAGTTACATTTCTATTGTTAGAATATGATTTATTCGGAAGTTTAAACCTTTTCCAAATAACATCATTCCCTCTGACGCCAGCAAACGCGAATACGTCTTCATGAATAAATAGGCCAAATGGCAGGTTTGTTTTCGGTACATTACTTTTTGGCCCAGTATTATCCCACACAATTCCAAAATCGATAATGCTTAAATTTTAATTATAAGAAATATTAAATATTTTGAATTTCGAGATAATCAAACATAATTTATACAAACTTACTCAATTATATCTCCGTTCCATGACGAAACCAACCCAAATGTATCAAATGTATCAAATGTATCATTTTGTGCCGCATAAAATATCAAAATATATTCTTCATTTAAAATAGTTGCATTCATCATCTTTGAACTAAGAAATGATTTATTAACAACTGTAATAGAAAGAATTGACCTACTTACGAGAATAATTTTTAAATATATATTATTATCGTTTCTTTTAGAAAATCGTAATAAAATCATTCCGTCTTGATTTGAATTAGATTCTTCAAATATTAAATCATTTTCAAAATCATCTTTAATATTGTTAATATATTGAATATCACAAAACGTAACGTGCAAGAACAATGACAATATGATTATTGCGATGAATTGTTTAGATTTAATTGATTGAATATTTGAAAACTCCATTATGAAAAATGAAAATTTCGCTTAAGGAATTTTCTTAAAGATAAAAAAAAAAATATTCGTCAACTATATCTTTCATTCGTAGATAGATCAACTATACCATACATAGGAATATCTGTTTATTTAATTTATTAGAAGTATAACGATTTGGAAGTGATCGATACTTGTGTTACTTTACGGGTATGACTGATAAAATTAAATTTATTTAAAATGAAAAAATTTATTAAAACTGCTGCAAAAATAGTTTTTTTATTTTAATCAATAAACTTATTTTCTAAATCGTAGAATTTTAAGCCAAAAGAAGGAGTGGCTAATTTTGAAGCCGCGAGTCTCATCTGAAATAGACTAGTAATTAAATAGATATAAGTAAAAACTTTAATGCGTAAGGAAAAGTTATTGTTATAGCAAACAAATTGTGTTATATATAAATGCAAGATTAATTAATTGCATATTGACAAAAAATATAATTACAGTACATGACTTCGGGACAATTTATCGCAAGTAAATTCTCGACGGTAACTTTTTTTTATATTGATCTGAAATTCAAAAAAAAATATTTACAATTTTGCGTTATTCAATATTCTTGAATAATATTTTTTATATATGCACAAATATTTGATATAACGTTCATTGCACATGTATACGTAGTCAAGCAAAACTAAATTCCTTTCTCAGGATCGCTAATATAAAAATTAATAAAATTTTAAAATCTTAATTCCAGGCAGGCCAGATGCAGTCAATATCACAATCAATGAAATCAGTTCCAAATAGAAGTTGGAACCGGCCAAAAATTCTTTAACCGGTTAATGACCGGTTAAAATATTCGTTAACCGGTAATTAACCGGTTAAATTAACTTAGGCCAGTACTATAAATTTTGCTGGAGTTAGGCAATCATAAAAATTTTAATTCTGGCCGGAAATTGAATTCCGACCGGAGTTAAATTCATCTTATTTTAACCGGTTAAAAAAGATCATTAACCGGATAACCGCTTTAACCGGTTCCAATCTCTAGTTCCAAAGCCTTTTCCATAACTAATTATCAGAAATTTACTAGTGTACAGGTCTGTTATTGCATAAGGTAGAGGATGGAACCGTTCCATGTTAACCGGTTAAAGAAAATTTTTAACCGGTTCGAATCTCTAGCGTAGTCGCAGTGCTCCGGGAGATTTAACATATTAATTTGTTTTTATCTTTCACTAAGAATGTATGAATTTTATACAAAATTCCTTATAAAACTTTACTATTATGCAAACTGATGATATCAAAAATAATGATGGAACGGTTCTCTCGGTTCCCCTAGTAAATTAAGACTAGGAGAGTCGAGTTAAATTACAATATAGTACAATTAAAAAATTTTTATTGACTGTTTACCAAACATATTCGGTTTTATAACCATGACTCTTTTAGCAAGTCCGGAGCCGGTTCCGGTTCGATTTTAAAAATGGTGAGTAACTCTGGTATACTCAGAATATGCTGAATTTAGAATCGATTCCAAAACCGACTTTGAGTAACCGTCCTCCATCTCATGCATTTCGATCATGTTCTGAAATGAAGTCTTTTATTAATGTACATATATACTTGTTATTCTATACTTCGTTACGGATAACTAGGTTATTCACGGGTTATATATAAAAGTCACATGCGCGTAAGCGCACGTGATTTTCATATTAACTCTGAGTAATCCGTAACGAAGTACGGAATAACAGGCTTATCTCATTGTGTATGACGTATACACCGGTAGAATTTTAATTAATTGAATATATCTCTTTCTCAATTTCACTCCTTTTTTCCCTTTTACAAAATTAAAATCTTTCTATCATAATGGATGGATTCTATTCCTATAAATGAGGAAATTTATTTCAGCTTCAACAACTTTCAAGAATAAAAATACAAACAAGTGTACCTTAAAGTGACTTTGTATGGTTGATAAATTTAATAAAGAGGCTAATTTAACAAAAAATATTAACGAATATGATACTTGAAAGAATTTTTATGACATGGCTTAAGAAATTAAATGGTCAAAACTACAAGGCGGAATCTGTATATAATTTTTATCATTAGCAAGATATTTAATTCAGTCACGGATGCGCATTTTCATATTCATTACTAATTTATATTATTTAATATTCAGTATTTATATACTTATTATAAACCCGTGTAGTAATTAACAAAAAATTCTACCGGTTTATACATAATACCGATGGGATAAAAAAAATTACAATATTATGAAGCAAAATCTTTATGTATTTATGTCAAATTAAAGTTCATTGAATATTTTTCAAATGACCTTGTCATGTTAGTAATATAATTGATGTTATTTGATGT